CCAGACCGTAGCTCCGTGTGTCTCCTTTTTTGGTATTTTCACCCAAATTCTTCTGCTAGTTGGGGTTTAGTCCACTTTTGTATCCTTCCCTTCAAAGCTCGGGTCCAAGATTATCTTCTGTGTCTGTGTTAATTGGTTTCCCTCTTCTTTGTTGAAGAGCGTCTGTGCAGTCCTTGTGCCTAGTTCACCATCTTGCCGGAACTCCCTAAAAGATTTTTTAATCACAGTCTTCCAGCATGTCTTGCTAAAGAAATTGAATTTTTAAAGACAATTGTTGTTTTAAGTAACTGATGCTCTAGAAATTTAAATGAATGTTCTTAACCCACTTCAAGTGTCTTACCTTCCCCACCCTTGTTAAAAGACCCCAGAGTGTGTGGTTTATATAAATTTTAGAATATGGAAGTAGTAGATAGGATTAGGGGGTGATTTTCAGAGTTTCCAGTGTATTTTTTAGACAACATATAGGAGGGAGATGGACTATTGGTTCATAAATTTTCATGTTGCTGTAGAAAGTAGAACTAAGGCTAATGAGGAAAGTTATAGGTTCCAGTTTTAGTAGTTAGATATTAACAAAGCACAACATTTGGGAGTTTTCTTCCATAAAAATTATTCAAGCTGTGGTCAGGAATGGATGTTGGATTATACAACTTCTAGGTCCCTTCCAATTCCAAGATATATGATTCAGATAACTATGACTATGGATCCCCCCTAATGTAATGAGAAATTAAAGGTGCAGCTTTAAAAAAAAAATAGTATAGTTGCATCAAAATCCTTAAACACAAGGTAGTGAAGTCATCCTGTAATAGGATATAAGAAACAGGACTAATAATTGACAATACTCTTGCCACTGAATCCCAAATAAATATATGCTTATTGATTTCACTTACATTAAGTACATGACCAACCTTCAACAAAAAATAGAATTATACAATACAATAAGTGGATTACAGACCCGCCATGCTCTCAAGTTCCAGAAAAAGGTGGATCACAGTACAGTAATCAAACACTGCCAGCCAAGAATGCCTATGTATGCGTTCTCTTTATCTACCATTAGCCTCAAAAAAAAAAAAAATTTTTTTTTAGAAAAGTATTTAGAGTGATAAAATTAATCACTTAAGGTTACTTTCACCTTACCAACTTTTGCAAATCTTTTCGGAAAGACTTAACAGTGTTTGGCCAAATGAGGAAGAGGAACTTAGAAGGGAACATCTTTTGCCCCTTTCATCCTGAGCTCATCTCCTCATGAACTTTTTCTGACTGATAATGTTTCTAATACTTAATTCAGAAAAGAACAAGCTCACTGATGGTTTTGCTTTCTCTTTTAGGCAGAAGAGGAAATTTCCAAGCCCAAAGCGGATGAAGGAAAGACAAGTTAAAGTTCACAGTATTTGGTAAGTTGGGTACTTGTTTTCAATGAGATAACTATACCTTCATCAGACTATGTGTTACAGGTGAGAGAGAACCTAAGCCTACCTCTTGAGTATTTCATACTGTATGTTATTAGCATGAAATGCACATTTCATATTCTGTAATTAGTTATGCTCTGAAAAGCACTAAGTGGGATGATTGTGCTACAGAAATGTTTAAAAGCATTAATCTTATAATTAAGACCATTTTAAAACAGGTTAGGCTCTTAAAGAAAATTGCCATCTAAGGCTAGTTGAATCTTTGAAATCCAAATGCTCATGACTGCAAGTTATTGTGGCAAAGTAAAGATAGCCTGTTACAACGTGTATCTTAACGATGCTGATATTGCCAAAAATAGCAGCACATGATGAGGTGTAGAGAAGTACTCTTTAGGGTCCAGTGGAAATTGCAGGGTTTTTAAAACAAGGGCAAAGGAAAAGATTTACCTCTCTCATTCTGCTTAGTTTTAGAAAGTAAAGTATTGTGTGCCATTCTACTTTATGGCCATTGAAGAGATCTGAGAGATGAGGGGATGTGTCAGATCTAGCTTGAGAGCTGGTCCCTATCTTAAGCTTCTTAAGAGAATCAAAATCCAAACCAACCCACCACCATTGAGTCGATCTTGACTCAAGGTAACCCTACAGAACAGAGTAGAACTGCCCCATAGGGTTTCCAAGGCTATAAATTATGGAAACAGACTGTCTCATCTTTCTTCCACAGAGCAGCTGGTAGGTTTGAACCACTGACCTTTTGGTTAGCAGCCCAATGCTTTAACCACAGTGCCATCAGAGCTCCTCAAGCTTTGAGAAGTAAGATCTTATTCTAAGCCATGAAAGCTTATAACCATGATTTTACCAAAGCCTAAAAGGAACTCTGGTGGTGTAGTGTTTAAGGCATTTAGCTGGTAACCAAAAAGTTGGTGGTTTGAACCCACCAGTTGCTCCACAGAGGAAAGAGGGGGCAATCTGCTTCCATAAAGATTTACAGCCTTGGGACCTAATAGGGGTCACTATGAGTCAGAATCGACTCAACAATGACAGTGAGTTTGGTTTGGTTTTGGTTTAAAAGAAAATCAAAACGTAGGTTAAATGGGGTTTGGTTCTCTCACCATAATACATTTTTATTTCATATAAAGAAGGTGGCATATTTGTTAGAGCTGCTCCAAAGATTTTTCCAAATACTTTTTAAAATTTTTCTATTAATAATCCATTCCTACATCTGCATACAGGAAATTGCTTCTTATCGCCTATTAGGTATTGCTTTTGATACATGTTGTTGTTGTTGTTGTTATGTGCCGTCGAGTCGGACCCAACTCATAGCAACCCCTCCTTGGGTTTCCGAGACAGTATCACTGCAGAAGTAAATTGCCCGGTCTTCCTTCCGAGGAGTGGCTGTTTGATACATAGTATATTTATAATGCCCATAATGAGAAAATTACATATCAAATGGTTTACTGGATTATTTGTTTTTTCTTAAGGTATCTGCTTCAGCTGGTGGATGGTGACTTTTGAAGAACAAAAGACTTTGACAACAGAAAACTTTTTCTGGGTGGCTTCTAGACTGGTATTTGCTGAGTCTTGGGACATCCTAGACTTTGGTTTGTTATTCTTTTCCAGGAAAGTAATTGAATTTCTCTGGTTTACCTGTGTTATTGTACTGAGTACTGATAAACTTTGAACTTTTAAAAAAATTGCCTTCAGTCAGGAACAAAAGAAAGCTTTATATTTGTAAGAAATATATTTGATAAAGTTTCTTAAAGCGACACACACATCAAAAAGAAAAAGGAAAAAAAAATCTTTGCAAATTTTTGCACATTCTACACACAGTGCCTGTAAATCTCATTAGTGTTGTTGGTTTGCACTTAGTTTTCCATTTTTACTTTTTTTCCCCCCCTTCTAATTTCTCATTACCTCCTTTCCTCCTGGGCTTTTGAATTGTATTTGATGTTCTTTGGTCAGTGTTTATAAGTCAAACATAAGATATTTTACATTGTGCACATAGCTCCTCTTGGGCTGCTAATAATAAATTAATAATAGATAGCCTGGACAAGACCAGTCAGCACCAAGCCCCTTTTCAGCTTATGCTCTTCCTTGCCGGAGGTCAGGACTTCTGCACCTTATAGTCAGCACAGAGCATGACGAAGCGTGAATCAAGTCATCAAAAGAGTAAAATGCAGATTGTATGTCACTGTATAGCAAGTTCCAAAAAAAAGAAATAAAATCTAATTCTTAGGATATTCATATGGCTTGAACTGTGTTGTTCACTGTGTTATTCAGCTATGCTTTCTGTTCTCTCTTTAAAACCCGGGCAGCAATTGTTTGCTTAGAGCCATTACCAGTTAGTATTTGCACTGTATAGCATCTGGCTCTATGAGAATTTCAACGAATGCAAAACCAAACTTCTACTTAAAAAAAAAAAAAAAGATTATATATATCTAAAATTTTAAAATCTGCTTTTCTCCCACCACAGAACTAGACCCTGATTCCTACAACTTTGAATGGTTTCTTAGCACTTTACCTAATGAATAGTTTATGAACGTAGCACTGATATCATTGATGGAATTTTGATAAATATTTGATTTCGTCTTTATTTCTTGTAGTGAATGCAGGAAAAGATGTCAGATACATATTATAAAACAAATTTGGAATTTCATGTGTCCAGTCATCCTTACCTTCTTCAGCAATCTTTTTAAAGCTTTTATTTATTAGGACTTAACTGACATCACTAAAAATAAGTAATAGCAGCAATATCATCTACTGAGGGTCTAACGTAAACAGAAATAATAAATTTACCTAGACTAGGGATCAAATTTTGCTAATACTCTATAAAGTTATTCTCTAAAAATCATGAACATCGCCATGGGATTACAAGCTCTACCCATTTAAGAACGCTATTTCTCTTTTCCATCAGAGATGTAGTCATCATTCTATTGGTCTGAGCCTGGGAAATATGAGACAGTGTTATGGTAGCTAAACAGACGTTTCAAGCACTAACAAGAAAATAAAAAAAATCCTTACTGAAGGTTTTTTAACTAAGTACATAATTTTCCCATTTGGTCATAAAGTGGTTTGCCTTTTTCTTTTTTAAATGTTTTTTAAAAAAAATTTTTTTTAAACCTTTGACATTGAATGATGTATTTGTGAGGCTATGTCTAGCATATTCCTAATTTCCGTGCATATATAGAAGTATTTTTAAATGACATACCAAAATCCAAAGATCTAAGAAACATGTATTTGGAGCACTCTGAATATGCTTTATTGTTGATTATAAGTGTCTTTCAGACTCAGGTGTTTGCTGGTAATTACAATTTGAGTAAATAATGAGATCTAAGTCAGTCCTTTTTACTCATCTAGTTAGAAGGAAATAATTGCAGATAACTGCTCAGAGGTAAAACACAGACAACTTTTTATTTCCAAAAAGGTTTCTGCACATGGTTGTGGCAATGTTGTATCTGCTTAAAAAACGGACTTTTCCAAAGCAAATAAAGATAAATAGGTTCTTCACTTGACCAATACTAAAAATATTTTCATGTATCATTAATCAAGATACAAAATACAATTAAAGCAAACTATTTTACATTAAAATTTTGGCTGTGTATATTTTTAGAAGGAAAATGCTGGGGGTTGAAATTAACAGTGGTATGTTTGTTTGTTTTTTAATTTCTTAAACCATTAATCATGCAATAGTTATAGAATTGTGAACACATCTATGTCCAAAAAAGTCACTCCACCCCATAATCTATTACAGCAACATATTTTATGACATTTTTCATATCATTCATTCCCATTTATCTTGAAAATTTTGCTTTATGTTAAAAAAAATCCATATAAATCTTCAAATACAAAGAATACTTTATTATTGCAAAGATTAATCTAAGTGCCAGTAACATGTTATTTAAGAATTACACACTGGGTCAAATGAGCAGGGGGAGAAAAGCATCACTTTCTTACCTAATGATCAACAATTCTCAGGTATAACTTCAAAGGAAAGGTTTTTCCTGTAGACCTGAGTGTATAGTGCTTTATGAGAAATGACCCTGAGGAAGGAGATGGCACACTCAATTTAGGATTACCTGAAGAGGGTTCTGTAAAATAATTTTTCACAAAGGTATGGGCAGGGTATATAGAAACCACAAGTACAGCTAGGACTCTAAGCCAGTTTCCCATTGAGGCACCTAGTCCTGAAGGGATGAGAGGAGGGAGCAGTTACCAGCACCCAGAGATGGAGAAAAGAACCCCTTCTCAGGGTCTGAGACTTTCAGTGGGGGCCAGCCTGAGGCACCCCACAAGGGAACCAGGAGAATAAATCCTCCCATCTATTCCCTCCACCATTATCCCCAGTTCTAATCTCCTGCTGCTGTTGTTGTTTTGTTATGTGCCGTCGAGTCGGACCCGACTCATAGCAACCCCTCCTTGGGTTTCCGAGGCAGTATCACTATGGAAGTAAATTGCCCCATCTTCCTTCCTGCTAGAGAAGCCTAATGGCTTGGTTCATAAGCCAGTACCCGTCATGGAGCAGGGAAAGGGAGGAGGAAAGTGGCTCTCTGCAGGAGCCAGTAGGCGAGTTCTAGCCCAGACACATTCCAGTTTAGTCATCGAGCCAGGTGTTCATTGTTCAGTATTGCTCATTATTCTGTGTGTCCTGAGGAGACTGATGAAACTGCTTATGGAAAAACACTGTTGGGTGGGGGTGCAGTTGGAGATCCTGAGCTAAGAATAAAATAAGGTACTTTCTCCTCTGTAGTAGGGAATCCAGCACTTGGGTGTACAAACATGTCAGGGCAACACCTGTAGATAATACGTGGTAGTAATGGCTCATTGATGAAAAATGAGCAGCTGGTCTTTTCACAGGACAAGTCAAATGAATACAGATTTGAAGGAAAAGGAAGTATCTCCAGGGGGAGCCACAAAAGCCATCTCTAATTTGCAAATATTCACATTCCACAAAATTAGGGTGATTATAGATCACA